TCAGTTACAACAACCTTACAAGTCAAAAAACGTATTAAACAAGTATTCCCATTTAACCCCATATTAACCCTCAGTAACACTAATTGGCCCTAATGAATGTCTTCCTGCACTGCTCCACTTAGCTATTATTTTTCCATTTTTTTATTGCTTTAATTTATTTTGTTTCATATTTTTAAAGCTTTAGTTTTCAAACTAACAAAGGTAAAAAAAAAAAATCTAAAATCTTTTTGTTTGTATTATGCATAAAAAAATGAATCGCTTTTGCAAGACAATTTTAGCATTTTTAGGAGAAGTCAGCAATAGCCGCTTATACACTTATCTCATGACTGGTCTCCTTTCATGCGGCCACTGTATAAGGAAAACTGCTGTTTACTGATTGTCCACCGGGTGTCACTGTGCAAATGTGAAACGTATTTCATATATAATGTATTCACATAATTTACGAAACGCTTTCATTTGATAGTGTGAATTATTCACACCTAAAGTGAATGACTATATTACATGATCTGTGCATAATCTAAATGCCAACGTGTAGGGCACAAAAGGATTTACTGGACAGAAAAATGTTCAGTAAAATAAAGGAGAATTTTAGAGTATGGTTCTCATAATCTTCATCAATGTAAGAGATCTTTAGTCTTGTATAGAAAATGCTTCATGGATATGAATGAATGAGTTGTCATAAAAGCGTAGCACTGAGCATCAGTCATTAATTAAATGCAGCCATTTATTATATTGGTAAAATTTAATCCAACGGTAATTAAAATAGTAAGCCCTCAGGAGATCACAGTAATAAAATTAAAATTGGGGAAAAACTTGGAGAATGCGGGCATCGATCCCGCTACCTCTCGCATGCTAAGCGAGCGCTCTACCATCTGAGCTAATTCCCCGTACTGTGGATGAGGGTGGAAAACCTTTTCTTTGAAAACGCTTATGTCTGTGTAGCTAGCCAATAGATTTTGGTCTCTGGGTATGACGTCTAATCTAACTGACTGGCTGGGTGTGGTTTGTTGTCTGCCTTCGCATATAGTTGAGCTTTCTCCGGCATCCCTTGCGCACTCACTCATCAGTGTGAACCAGCCGAGTTCATTCAAGTAAACCTCTAGTGATGAATGCATGTATTGACATCTGAATATACTGCATTTGTGATCAATGCAGAGCTACACATCTGATTTTTAGATGTTCAGGACAAGGAGGCACATGATCAAATATGTCTGACAATCTTATAGTAGCAGGTGACCATAAATAGGTTAACTCTGTGTTGGGATGAGGTTCAAGTTCAAGGCAACACAGGAGTTTTCTTTTCTTAGCCTGGTCTCCCTTAAAATCATACCAGACCCTCATCAAGGATGTACTACAGCAAAAGTGATATTTTTGAAGTAGAAAAAAGAAAACATTTGCTGCTTAATTCTCTGCTGGCTTGGTTTTTTGTTGTAAAATAGAAGTTGGAATTTTTGCATTGGTTGGCAAGTTCCAGCTCCCGATGCCCCCTACATCAATGGGACATAACGAAGCACAAGAAAACACAAAATGCATCAATCAGTTAGAAAGCACGATAACGACATAGTGGTGTTTAAACGCCCCTCTATGTTGCTCGATTTTGTTGTTATTATCTAATACTCTTTTTTACGATTCTTTTCCTTGGTCTCCTTCTTATTTTTCTTTACTGATTTTATGGTCTTGGTTTACTCCCCTTTTCACCTGATTCCTTACGATCTTGGTGTGTGGACCGCTCGGTGTGAAATTAGCTTGTATTGGCAATGATGTCATTGTAAGCCGGAGGACAATGGTGAGACTAAGGGGTCTATTCACGAAGCTGCCGAAGGATCTGGCCGTAGCTTCGGCCGATCCTTCGGCTAGCTTCGGCCCCAGGACCCCTTCGGTTCAGTA